CATCGTTCCACTCAGAATCTAAAATATTATATCTTCATTTAACAGAATTGGTATGGATCATTTGAACCCACTGATAGATGGGTACCTGATCTCAGCGATTTATTGATTCATAATGAACTGAATACAATTTCGTTTGGAGGAGAAAAAATTACTCACGACACCTTAAACCACTTAGTATTTGGTATTGGAAAACCTAAAATATACGTAAAAATAGACAATGCCACACAAACCGATGAAACAAATAATGAACAGTCAGGTAATACTCTTTTAGTTTTAATTTATATTTTTAAGGTTTGTCATACTGATATACTTAGATTAAAAATCTTTATAACATAACAGTAATTAAAATATTATAGATAGGTAGGTATTTATGCATGTAGGTAAGTAGTATTAAAAAGTATTTATTATGTTTTACAAATTTTTATTCCTCCGACATAATATTATTAAAATATGACTTTACTAGTCAAACTAATAAATGAATAAATTATTTCTATTGTTAATATCGGAACTAATAATAGACAGGTACCTAAACATCTACCTACTGTTATGTATAATCATATTATAACATACCAGGCGAGTAGCCATACATTATTCCATAACTGGGCCAAAATTATTTAGCCTCTCCCTGCTTTTTGTACATTGTACCCACTACCACACCTCTCACGATCACACAAAACTTATAAAAAAAATATAACATTTTATAACAATGTATTGGTTAATACGTTTAAAAGGACTACTGCTACGAGAGAAAGAACCAAGAATGCTAGTCATAAACTCATAATTAAGAAACGAAATTGCCTCCACATAAAAAGCAGAACATTGACAGTGAAATACCTTTTTTTATTTATTTATTCAATATTGGAACTAAAAAAAGTTATTGAAGTTTTAAAAACGCAAAAATAATTGATTTTTAAAAGAACTTTTTTCGTGATATCAAAAAAATAAAAACAATTTTTCACAGATAATGTTTTCAACTATATTTTATATCAATTTGGAGTCTTAATTATTACACAAATTTTTTTTAATTTCCTTTAACAAAAACTTATGAAGCACCTTTTACTGAATTTTAAGTATTTTAACTCAGAGAAAATTTTTTACATCGATAATAGTTAAATAAAAACTAATAAAAATTTTAAGTTTCCTATGCCTATAGCTTATCTATTATAGCTAATAGCTCAAAAAGAATCAAAATATTTTGAAAATTTAACGTTGTATAGCAAATGGTAATTTAAATATGCAGTAAAAATTTTAAGAATCTACGGTTAGTTACTCTAAAAAAACTTAATCTGTCCCAAACTGATTTTGAGTAATTACCATTTCTCCTTCATTTATTATTATTAATTTGACTTCTTATCGTGTTTAAATCAACAACAAAAAATCACACATTATTGTAAAATCTTAAAATAATAATAGGTACTCAGAATCTAAAATTAAACATTATATTCAAATAGATACCTAATGTAATATAATATTATTATTGTCAAAAAATATTACAAGTTTAAAAATGTTTTCTTTTGTTTCATATAAATAAAAAAAATGAATACACATATTTTTTTTTGTATTTATATAACAGAACATAATGTAATATCAAAACAACGATTACAACATTTTTACTTAGAAGTATTGAAAACCACTAATTCACCGATTGAGATTGAAAGAAGACATAATGAAACTGAAGTACTTGCTTGGAATGAAATAAGGTTCCAGGAACATTTAATCGACACAGGACTATTGGAAAAATATGCTCAAACTGACAATTAACTATAAATGTTCAAATAATTTATGTAAAATATTCAGAATTTAATATACCTAATTATTACTATTACCTATCTTTATAAATTTATAATATATATATAATTCTACTGTACGTGTGTACAGTGGCGTAGCATGAAACTTGGTGGCCCTGGGGACTATAAAAGTTGGAGACCCTCTCTAATGTAAAAATTAAACAGTAATTTTATGAGGTAAAAAAAAATGCATGTAAAGGTATACCTGTATTATTTTACTGCTGATAAATTTATAAAAACAATGACGTTAAAATATTAAGTAGGTATTATATTATATACCTAATATACCTAATTAATAATTAACTAGTCTAGCCTTCACTTGAGCAAACTTGTCAATGACTTCATCAAAATGTAATTACTGTGCCTGCTTATTTTCAATGGAGATAATTGACAATAGCCACTCAGCCGTTCCTTTGACATCGTGCTTCGTAAATAATTCCATTTCGGTAATACCACGATCAAGTATTAAATTAAATATTTCAACTTCAAATTTTTTTCAGGTGATTCTAACCTTTGGTCTACATAAATCTCATCAAAATAAATTTTATTTTTCTATGTCTTTGATTTTTAAATATTGGTACTATGCCCCATTTTCTTGAGTTACCATGGTTTTCGATGTTGATTTTTTCATTATGGCCTCTAAATGATAACTTATTCGAGGGAGTGATTTTTCTTTTTCAACGAGCTGTGATTTTAATTTTATTTTTTATTTTCACTTAAAAGTACACGTTTAGACATTATTAATTGACTATTGACTATTGACAGTGTGTTAATTCAATAATAATTCAAAATATTATTTCAAAAAGTAATAACTTATGAGTTATGAGAAATAACAACATGCATGTAAGACGCAAAGGAACAACAATATTGTATTCAACTATGATCACGATTTTCGACAAGTAGAAATACTAACATCAAATATTTATAATCAAAGATAATCAGAATTTCGTACCGTAGACAGCAGTTTGTAGTGATCGTGGTGCTGTTATTATTACCGCGAAGAGCATTCAATTTCATCTAATACCATCGAACAAATAATATTAAGCGATACGCCATGATAATTTATTTTTATAACAGCCACCAGAAACCCATTTAAAGATCTCGATTTTCGACAAGTAGAAATACTAACATCAAATATTTATAATCAAAGATAATCAGAATTTCGTACCGTAGACAGCAGTTTGTAGTGATCGTGGTGCTGTTATTATTACCCTCTTGCCGAAGAGCATTCAATTTCATCTAATACCATCGAACAAATAATATTAAGCGATACGCCATGATAATTTATTTTTATAACAGCCACCAGAAACCCATTTAAAGATCTAATAACTCATGATTATACACCGTCGCTGTACAATAATTTTTTTTCGTATTTTTCATAATCAAATTATTTTCAATGTACCTAAATATTACTTAATAAAAAAAAATTTGAATATTTTTTTATGCAATGGTACAGATCCTATGCCCCCCCCCCCCCAACTTGGGCTTAAAGTGGGGGCCCCGGTGGATCCGGCTTAAATACGCCACTACGTGTGTATGTCACTGGACTCCTCCTAAACGGCTGGACCGATTTGAATGAAATTTGTTGTTGTGCTTGAGTGGGTCCTTGAATGGTTTAGATTCACAATTAGACCCATTAAGCCCAACCCGGGGAGGTGCTAAAACATGGATTTTGAGATTTACGATGGAAACTGTTGTTTATAAATGGTTGCTATTGATTACAGGAGAAGTAATTAGTAGACATTAATTTATTGTTGGTGGACATAAATTATTCGGACAGATCAGGTACAAGAATGCATAACATCGAATTTTCGCACATTGTCTACCAAGGTGGCTGAGTTGCACTTATAGCAGGTAGATTGCCTACTTGAGATATTTTGTCTCGACTTGTCCACGATTATATATAATATTATAATATTTTTTGGTAATATTGGTAAAATTGTTTATCAGCAATCGCCCGCGTCGCGCCCCTCGTCGTCCCGGTTTCGATGAAATTACGTATTAATATGCTATGGGGCATTGGGGCCATTGGGGGTAAGTATGTGACTTATACATTTTGTACGAGGCACCTCTTATGGATTTTCCGAATTTATTTGAGCCCTCAAGTGGATTACACACTAGGCGATTCGAACGCGAGTCTCCGTGCGTTTCGAACAACTCGATTCGATCGCTCAAAATAAAACAACCTCATTAGTTATAATTCTAAATTAAAAATGTTAAATATAAGGCACATCATTTTTTTTGTACTTAATTATGTTCAAATTGTTTAGTATGTCGAACTTTGTCTTGTTGAAATAATTAATAATTGCGAGCGGCTCTAGTACAGAGGTACCTATAGGTGTAATGCGCATAGGTTAACGTATAATAAAGTTATGATTATTACGTTATATTTGACAAAAACGATTGAAATTTGTAAACATAATTACCTATAGGGGAAAGCGATAATCAAAAATAGGTATTTAAATACCATAAAACAAATTATAACGATTAACAAAATATATTATATACATGTCATTAAACAAAACATAGGTAGGTACCTAACGTAATTTATAGAATATCATTGAACGAAAAGTAAACGAAATAATTTAAAATCCATTTATTTAAAAGGTCTTTTGGTTTCGTAGAAACATTTATTTCATGCAAACAATCTAATAACTGATTATATTATATTCCGTATCCGGGCCATTACCTACCCGCGTTAGTTATTATTTTTAAATTTAATAAGTATATTAACACTATTTTAAATAACGATAAACGATTAGACTTGGATAACGTTTTAATTCTAAATAACGATAAACCCAAAAATTATGTAACGTTTTAATTGTAAATAACATAAAACGGAATTTTTTTTTCAAATGGAAGCCCTGGTTACCTATAAGTTATAAGTCAGATTGAAATTACGCCACTGGTATTAGTGGTATTACTATTAACAATAGTGTTTCGTAGTCGTTTCGTACAGAAAAAAATATTCATACTGTCGAGTGTCGACGGAATATTTTAGCCGAGACAGCCCTACCTAGCGGACAAAAGGCATCCACATGTGCTATTCACATTATCGTCGTGATAACTGATAACGTCGGTGTCCGATAACACTATCGTTACCGACGATTTTGCATTTTTGCATTCGACTTGGCTAATTTATTGCTCGCAAATTCTTCAAATCCCAGAGGCCAGAGGTTTGAAAGTCTAGGTGTCGCATACAAAATATTTGCCATGGCGTTATTCGCTAAATACTTGAGGATCGGCAGTACTGTTAAACACGGGTAAGTTTCGTTTTGATACTGTTGTTATATACTGTTACGATCGACTGTCATTTCTGTTGACTGAAGCGTTGAGTAAAATGTTACATTTTGGGCACACGCAAAACGGTAAAAACGAGTTGCACTTTAATTGCGGTGTACTGTGAAAATGCATTGCGGTGTCACTACACATCTATACGCCGGCCATGTTCTGAACCGTCGTCGAGATTGCTGGGCAACTGTACTATTACAAGTCTTAAATTGTCTTTTGGATTCCAACATTCTCTTAATTCCATATTACATTATAATAAAACTACCTCAACTTTTACTAAGAATATCAACATCTTACTGGGAACAAATTATATTGTACATCATTCATGATGTTCAATCCGAGGTTCAATCCATATTACCATCCTTGATAATTATGATCTATTTAGTATCACTCAACATATTTTATTTCCTGAAATTTGATATTGTAGATTGCACAGTTATTAATTGTTATAATATTCAATCTACTTAAATATTGTTACTCAAACAATAGCTATTTAATGACGACAAATGAAAATTGAATAGGTACCTATGTTATGTGAACCAAAGCATAATATTATGTTTTATTGTATAAGATTGTGATGGGGCAATAACAAATCTGTTGCAATATTTTATTAATAAGAATTGTCTCCTGCCTGATTAACTATTGTTTTTTTTTTTTTTTTTTTTAAGATTCCAAGCATTTCCACAATTAACAACGGCTAAATATAGTGTATATCCACCTCACTTTGCTGAACCAGTCTACAAAAAACAAGAATTAGATAAACTTTATGAATCTGGAGAGATTGAGAATTACAAACTGATTCCATTTAAAGCAGCAAGAAGTAACGAAACTTGTTCTATATTTCATGATCCTATGGTTACGTGAGTATTAATTGATTATTGTAATATATAAAAGATGAGGAACAGTCTATTGCATTAGTAAAAGCCTAACCTACCTATTGTAATTTTATTTAAATACTTTTACTGCTTGAGCACCTCCCTGCAATAATGGAATATTAAATAATATTTTAATCAATTAAAAACTGTACCTATACAATAAAGCAGAGTTTCTCAACCTGGGGGTCGCATCAGTCAGAAATAATTAAACGCTGATGTGGAAAATCAACCTTTTATTTACATTAAAAATAAAATTATTATAACAGTACTTATTGTATGGAATATAATTAATTTTGATAAATTTAGGTTAAGCCAGGTCACCAATTACATACATGCAAAACACACTATGTCCATGTAAACCATGCAAAAGTCACTAAGTCCAACTTAATAATTTGTATTTTAACTATAGTAAGTAATTCTTTCACAGTGTCATATTATTTACAACCATTCATAAATAACTACTTCACTTAAAAGGAAATCAATCAAAACAAGCAAAAACTAAATTTGGTTACAATTGGCATACATTTAAAGTTTGAAAAATTGCCAAAGCTAATTCCAATAAGTCATGTTTTTAGACTTAGGGTGCTTTGCATGAATGGAGACGAAATACACTATAAACTTTGAATAAAAAAGTAAATAGTATGAATTAATGTGATATTTGAGATTGGTTTATATTGAAAATTTTTTTATTATAAGGGAGAGGGGGTGGTGTCATTACGTGACTGATTTTATTTTTTACCTATTTTGGGGGTCGTGACGTTAAAAAGGTTGAGAAACTGCAATAAAGCATTCTTTTTTGTTTCTAAAAAATCACAAAATGTTTATTAATTTAAAAATTGAAATTATTAATTAAATATTTTGCTCATAATAGTAATACATTTATTTGGACCTATTTTATTTAACTTATCCAATTACTTAGACTATTAAAGTTGCTCAATAAATTTAACCAACAATTTTTAATGTTTATTTATGAATACCTTTAACTGTAATATTTTTTTTTTCAGAAAATTTATAAACTATATGCTTCTAAGGGGACAAAAAAAATTGGCCAGGGAAGTCTTAGAAAAAGTATGTAATTAATTTGTATATTTTATAAATTATAATAACATGTCTCAATCAAAACTATTTAATAATCTGTGGCATCAATTTTAAATGTATTAATATCTTAGAAAACATAGAAAATAGAGAATGGAACCAATGCATATTTAAAAATATATATCTCCAAAATTCTGATTAAGATTAGTTAATACTAAGTGTTCTTACACTCTACCTATTTTAATTGTTGAATGGGCAGTGTCCATTCATTTTTGTGGTGTATGAGAAGGATACCTAGAGAGTTAAACTTAAAATTATTTTTAGTTTTCTAGTAGGAATAATATAGTGTAATCAATTTAATGTTAAGTATTTAAATTAATATCTTACGTTGAATTAATCACCCTGTACATATTATAATTATAATTTAAATATGCTTTGAAAAAATGTTCTACTGTTTAACTGATTGTCTTTTTTTGTGGAATAAGACCCACTCTACTTAATATGTATGTTTTATGGTTTTTTAGATCTCAAGCGATGTTTATTATTTTAAATTTTCATTTAATATTTGTGTTAAACGCTGTTATATCAATGACATTATTTAGTGCTTTCCCAGTTCATTTATTCCTGTCACTTTAAACATGCAATCAAAATTGTTTATCGTACTTTGTATGAAGATATAAGATTGCAATTATTCATTTTGAATAATATAAATACTTTAATGTTCAATTTTTTTTTTTTTTAAGACCTTTGAAAAAATCAAAAAGTTACAGTTAGAGAAGTATAATAGAGAAACGGATCCTGAGAAGAAGGCTTCAATGATTATAGATCCTGTAGTTATACTGAAAAAAGCTGTTGCTAACTGCAAACCACTTTTAAAATTAACTGCAGTAAAAAGAGGAGGATCTTTTTACCAGGTTTGATTTATTTGTACTATAAAACAAAACAATTTATTAATATTTTACAATTTCTTACTCTTCTATATATGTTAAAAATGCTTCTCTTTCATTTTAATTAGTTTATTTTAATCTTATCACTTACATGTAATTTTTCATTATATTCCAACTCAGCAAGTCAATAGCACTATTCAACTTATTTTGCCAATTTTTTTTTTCTTTTTTGCTTATCTGTATTGAGTGTGACTTTTATTTTATAACAATATTTAAAGCCTATAATATTGCCTAATGTTAATAAAAATAACTTACAGAAACTATAATATTAATGTTGATATTTTAAATTAAAAAAGATAAATTATTTTTAATATTCTCCATGGTTTTTATTTAAGGTTCCGGTACCAATAACAGACAAAGAATCTACATTTTATGCAATGAGATGGTTTGTACAATGTGGACGCGAAAAAGACAAATCCATTAGTTTTGCTGACTTTATGGCCACCGAATTAATCAAAGCATCCAATAATGATGTAAGAATGATTTTAATTTGATTACAGTACAAACAATTAAAAAATTAATATCACTTAACATTAATTGATTAAATCATTGAATTAATGGGTTTTAATGAAATTATATCTTCATACACTTTTGTATAATATGTGATATTTATTTTAATATCTTTATTATTCTGTTTAGGGAAAAGTTGTGAATAAAAAACTGGATTTACATAAACAATGTGAGGCAAACAGAGCATATGCACACTACCGTTGGAGTTAGTTCTCATACATTTTATATAATAATTAATTTAAAATAAGTTATGTAATAAATATTTTTCTTAGTCATGTAATTTTTATGGTTATATATTTCAAAATTTTTTCTAAATATTAAAAAAAAAATACCTCTTACTTGTGGTTGTATAAATGTAGCTATGCTCTCAACAGCTATTTTATGCAAGTATTTTTGGAATAGTATACTGTACAATGAACACGTTATGAATATTTCTTTGAAACAAGGTGACCACATATTATAAAATATGTTTTTTTAAATCAGTATTTTTCTCTATAAAATTTTCTGCAAACTAAATTATATAGTACTAATTATATGGCCAGAGAGTATTCCATCTTTGAATGCTAATTTAATAAGTAAATGGATAGTACACAATACATTTTTTGGTAAATCCATATTTCATCATCTTAATGATGGGTTTAAATTACATTTTAGAATGTTTGATTTATATATTTTATAGTAATAATGTACATTATTATTTGTAATTTATTGTTCTTAGTAATCATGGTTGTTCCAGTTAAGCCTTGTTTAGCATAAAACCATTATTAATGCCTAATAATATCAAAAAATATATAGTTATTTTATTAGTTATTAGAATATGTAAGAAACGGTCTATGCCCAGTTTGCTGATACCCAATTCACCAATAAGTTCTGCAAAATGTATATTTTAATGCAAAAATGACAAAATGATTATACATTTTGAGCATATTTAATAAAAAATAAAATATTCAATAATATAATTTATAATTCTACATAAATCGTTCTTGCTAATCCAAAAATATTTACCTAAAACAAAAAAATAAATGTATTTGACTGAGTTTAAATTAAACAATATATAGTTAATTTATCATTTAAAAAATAAAAAAACTCATTCAAAAATAAAATTATCCAATACTATGCATTATCACAGTATAAATATGCATGTACTTATGTCTTATATGCTTTATTAAGAATATGCATTAATTTTTTTTTGATACCTCATTTTCAAAAATACAAATAATGTACCAAACTAAACATTATTTCCAGATATATAATGTATAATGTATAATATATCTATATAATAAATAAACATACTAATTATATAAATACTAATATTATTAAAATGGAATATTTGTAACAAATAAACTCAAAAATTACTGGACTGACTTCAAAAATTCTTTCACAAATTAGAGTACTACGTTATCCCTGAGTAAGCTATATTTATTAAGAGGAAAAATTAGGGATCCCTACTAAAACTTCAATAACGTTAATTTTTTATGTTTATCAATCAGCCCCTTTTTTGTATGTATGTGCATACCTATCTCGAAAAGTACTCAACGGATAATACTGTTAGAGCGGTGAGCAATGCAGAAGGTTTTTATGTATAATATGTTTTGGAAAAATTAATTTGGCGGTCAAAAATAATAACAATAATATCTATAATATATAAAAAGTGGTTAAGTGGATGTCGCTCTGCTGTACAGTAGGTTACAAGTGGGTCAATGTATAATGGATTGTAATCATTGTATTTAACTTGAATTCAATGATATAATATCATTGTATGAGAAAAACGATTCTGAGCAGAGACGTTTTGTTAGCCTGGATATTTTTTATATTGTTATTATTTATTATAGCCTGTAAGTTGAATTAATATTAAAATATTGTTTTAGATTCTGAGTGGAGCGAGGAAACAAGTGGTTTTACAATGGTGTTTATTTTGTTATTTTTTTTTTTATATCCTGTGTACAAAATTTCTACCAGAAGGAGTGCTTCGATTTCAACATATGGTACCTTATATTTTAGCAAACTGGATCAAGATGGTACTTTAAGAGGTAATTTTTCGATTTTCTCAATAGTTATATAATTCCACGGGAAAAATCACTGAAAATTACGAAAAACTGCTAAATGGGAATTTAATTTATAACGCTTTGTTTATCACCATAGGAGCTAAAAAAAAAATAGTAATATTATAATATTAATTCAACTTACATGATATAATAAATAATAACAATATAAAATATCCAGACTGACAAACCGTCTCCACTCAGAATCGTTTTTCTTATTGAATTCAAGTTTAATACAATTCATTACGCAATGACCCACTTGTAAACTACTGTACAGGAGAGCGACATCCACTTACCCACTTTTTTTAATCATTTCTATGGTGATGAACAAAGCTTTAGAAATTAAAATCGAATTTTTTGTGGTTTTTTGTAAGTTGTTGGTGGTTTTTCCCATGGAATTAAATAACTATTGAGAAAATCGAAAAGTGACCTCTTTAAAGTACCATCTTGATCCAATTTTCTAAAACATAAGGTACTATTTGTTGAAATCAAAGCACTCCTTCTGGTAAAAATTTTTTACACAGGATAAAAAAAAAAAATAAAATAAGATAAACACCATTGTAAAACCACTACTTTCCTCACTCCGCTCAGAATCTAAAATTATTGTTTGTCTGTACCTATTTCCTTTATGTACTCCTAAAAGCCTGAACCGATCTTTATGAAATTGTTTGTGTGTGTTTGAGTGGTTCCCTGGATGATTTAGTTTCACAATTATTGGCACAGGCGGATCTAGACATTTTTATTAGACTGGTCCACTTTCCCGATAAATTCAGACATGTAGTCTTATAAACGGTATGCAGGAGGGGGTGGAAAATTCATTGACACCATTTTTTTAATACTAATTTGTTTATGATTTTTTATTTAAAAATTCAAGTTAATATAATTATATAAGTATAATTATATAATGTAATTAAAATAATTAAATATATAATGTTAAGTTCATGTTGACAATAATTTATGATTATTTAATGGAATACAGTCAAGCGTAGGTAGGTATAACATATTTTATTATATAGATAAATAATAATTTAAACAATTCTGAAGACAATAGTGGAGTTATAATACTACAATGTTTATAGTTTAATTTGGTACTGGTTTGTTATAGCCCGGCAGCAACCGCCAAACAATAAATACCTACATCGTATAAATATAGAACAATGAGTTTATTTATTGATTCCATAATAATAATAATAATTTGATGACAGATATATTGATGTAATATTAAAAAATGATAATAATAAATATATCGTATAAGTAGGTATAAAACAATGATAAATTAAAAAATGTATACAAATGTTTATGGTTTCTCTTATGATCACTACACTGTTAAGTTTTGATCGCCACATATATTCTGCCATGCAAGAGTCTAAAAAAATGTCTATCAGTTCATCTGCGGTTTTTGTTGCCCAATTTATCCGACCACCACATTCTCTCGACATTCTGTGTGTGGGTTCCTGAGTTAGGGTCCACGATATTGATTAACTTGATTATGTTGAAATCCATATTATTGCAAATTATCATAAGCTTTCCAGCTGTCAGAAAAAATTGTTGAACCATGTCTAATATATATATCGGTTATCAATGTAACTTCTGATCTATTTGGAACACTAACTATGAAATAGTTTTTGATTATTGTTTATAACTTTATAAGGTACCTCATAGTAACGGTACGTATTTTTCGTTGAATTATTTCATATTTATACTACCTATGTATTTATTGTTATATGGATGGCGGGGCTATAACAAACCAGTAATTACCTTTAATTTTTTATTCAAATATTTTAAATACCTAACCATAACCGCGCGTTGGTACGGCATAGTATAGGTACCTTGGGGTGGGGGTGAGCAGGGCATTGTGTATTATTTATCCATTTAATACATTACGTATAGACGTAAAATATATAGTAGTACCAGTAGACCAGTATTTTAGGCATCTTACTGACTACTCTACATATTATTAAGGAGCACGATTAGCCTGGGCCCAGGCCGTAGTTCCACCTATGACTATTGGACCCGGTAAGTCCAACCCGGGGAGGTGTAAGAAATAATAATTAGTAAAAATTAGAAATTTTATTTGTATATTGGTTGCCACTGGTTAGTCGGGCTCGGGCAGTTCAAGCATGCAAACAATCAAATGTTCACACAATACCTACATTGTCCGCGATCCGACGTAATAGTATTGCCTACCGGGGTGCCTGAGTTGCACTTACTGAAGCAAGTCACACATAAAAACAGTTAAAAGATCACAATTTTTTTAAGAGTCGTCATTTTTAGGGGATATAGTATATAATATTAAAAAATACAAATCTTCGGTCTGGACAACATCAGCCATGTATTATATATAAAATAAAATAAATAAATAGCCTAAAAATTGTCCCCATTAAATTATATATAATATGTAAAGAATAAATAAAAAACAAGTGTGCAGGTAGCACATGATAGAAGTGAAGCTTGTTGGGATTATGTGGCAGGAATTTAAGGAATATCACAAAACACAATAAGTGTATTAAACGAGATTCTTTACATCTATTCTGTATAATTTAATAATTTATTTTGGAAATTATCGGTTTGTGACTAATGTACCTACCCATAATGTTTTTTAGGTATTATCATTAAGTTATAAGTACCTATTTGATATTTTATTCAAAATGTTGATAATAATTTGTTAACAAGATGAAAATTATCAAATTATTTTGTTCTTACAAAATTACAAATGTCTTGCTTTTAAATAATCTGTTTGTACTGAATGAATGCTGATAAAAAAATCCATAGCCTAACCTAAATGTAATAATTTTTTATGCGCTTAAGCAATTGCTACTTACAACTTACCTTCAACTATACAACTTATTTTCCTACAAACAAATTAATTCAACACCGGTGTTAGATGGCTATGATTTTTCATAAGGTAACACTCATAATAGGTACCTATATTGTTTATGACCGCTAAAGTTATCTGTGTATCTATTTATAATGACTTTCCATCATCATTCATCGGGCATCATATAGGTACATCACAGGTTAATTATGAATACGACTAGTATGCCTAATTATATTTAATTAGTAGGTACCTATATAGCTATTATCTATGATATTATTATAACAAATTATCCATACAATTTTCATTATTTGTTGTCGGAAAAGTGTATATTTTTATAAAATGACGTTAAGTGTCTGGTACTAGAAGATACACTAAGAACTTATTCGGCAGTTTAATAACCTAAATCAGCCAGCGTGCAACATGGTCTTCGGCAACGATTTGGGGGGGTGTTAAGTCGTCGAGATAATTGATATATCAATAGTTTTAGTTTTTTTTTTCTATAAATACCGATAAAATGTTATTTATTTCGTCAAATACACGGATTTTTCACTTACGCATAGTCACTTGCCACCACGATTTAAGATAATACTATCTTAAATCGTGCTTACCACTAAGTATATATACGAGTAAAGAGGTCTCTTTCCATCGGTGAGGCGTATAATCAGCCGTTCGGCAGACCTTCTGGCTCACAAAACAGGTCTTTGTGTTCTACTATGTACTGTGTTGCACATGACCAATGTAATATGTTAAAATCACTAATTGCTTCACTGTGTCGATCGCGCTTCGGAGCAGTCATAACGTTCGACTGACTGCAAACCCACCCGCCTATTACCACAACAATTTTTTTTGATTTTTTTTATGCACTCGACAGGGCGGCATCATAATATACAATATATTTTTAAAAAAATGCATTAATGACCTTACTTACTTACCTATTATTTAATAAAATAAGTGATAATTACTTTTAGATTCTGAGAGGAGAGAGGAAGCTAGTGGTTTTACAATGGTGTTTATTACTTTTTTTTTTATATCCTGTATACAAAATTTCTACCAGAAGGAGTGCTTCGATTTCTACATAGTTATTTAATGCCACGGGAAAAAAACTACTGACAAATTACGAAAAACCGCTTAAAATGGAATTTTAATTTCTAACGATTTGTTTATCACAGTAGCAATTAAAAAAAAATTATAATATTATAATATTAATTCAACTTCAAGGCTATAACAAATAATGAAAAGTAAAAATCCAGACTGATACACCGCTCAGAATCGTTTTTTTTATACAATGATTTTATATCATTGAATTCAAGTTTAATACAATCCATTATACATTGACCCACTTGTAACCTACTGTAAAGCAGAGAGACATCCACTTACCTGCTTTTTTTTTGATAGTATTTTCTATATTCTGCAAACTTATAGATAATAGACAATAGTTAAAGTTAAGTTATTAATTATTTATTTATTAATTATTTATTTATTAACTCAAGTTATTATGAGCTGAAAATCCTTAATAAATAAAATATTTTTCTGGATAGTTGGAATATTTAAAATTAACTTAATTAGAAAAATAAAGAAAAATATGAGTTGATTTTAAGTTATTATAGAAACAAATGAGTTAAGTAAAAGCTAAGTTATTTAAAACAACGAACTAGTTAATGCCCAGCCTTGTAACCAGCCAGTAAAGCAGAACCAACTAGTATTCTCACTGTGGCGAATGAAAATCTAGTGACACCACAGCCAAGCCAGTTGTGCGTCTTTGCAGATAAGGGAAAGCTCGGGGCCATCCGGTCAAGCTCTGCACGGTCCATTTTCTTATAGACCGGACCGGACTTATAATTATTAACAGAGACCAGGACTGGACAGGACCTATAAAATAAAAATGAAGCCAGAACGAACGATTATTTTATTATGATAATGATTTTTATTTTTCATCGTAATTTAAATTATATGGAAAATTATAATATTAAATCGACGTTAAAAATGCAGATCACTATATACCGGACCATATAGACCTAATATAAATTTTAAGGTGGATCGGAATGGACCATTTTTTTTTTTTTAGACAAAGGGACCGAACCGGCCTGAACCACATTAAATTACAATACACAAAGTCCGGACCAGTCTAGACCATGCAGAGATCTACCATCCGGGTAACCGTGAATAACTAATAAGCTGTCTCGGACAGCCACAAAAAATGACCCACCGGCCATGATAGTACCACAGTAAGGACTTGCGGTCGGTTTGGCGGTCCGTGTTTGTCATACCGAGCTAGGCGTAGGTAAGTGAACGGTCAGGAATTCCCTCGAAGGAAGATGGGACCACTTTGTTCACTCCGCGGCGGCGTGGATCAGTGACTTGGGGTGCAATCGGGTTCACCTTACGTTTATTCTGGGAGTTAACCAGCTTTCGAGTCGTGGGGACTGCTCGGCGTGTCCTTGGATGCTTCTGGTTGGCGACTCCCTAAGAGCAAGTGCGGTAAGCTAGAATCCCTTAGAATTCGGTAGCCGTGGCTTGGTGGCGGGGTATGTCCAACCCATGATGCCAATCACGAAGGGTAGTAGCAGGTTGCCTAGGGCAACCGCAAGCCAGACGGTCTGTCCGCCTCCAGAAATCTTACCTCCGGCTTTGGCAAGCTAATCACTGTAAGTTCAGGATGGATTGGTACGGGTGAAGGATTTCGCTAGTAACACTGGTGAAACCGTAACCGGAGGGTTTTCCGGGCTGACGTTCGGGCTCCATTGTCCATTTTCGGCAGGTGGGCTCGTCGGTCCTAGGTGATAATGTGGGTTGAGGCCACATGTCATGCTGTCTGTTCTGAAGGTGCGAGAGCAGAGTCGTCGCACAGGCCTGTCTCGGGCTAGCTCTCTCCTCGGCCTTTTAACAGCACCCCGCTGCTAGTATAAGGTCCGTCGATGGTAGCGTCTAGAGACGTCAAACCCCGGTCATTTTTGTGATGAATTAAAGTTAGCTTTATTCCCAGTGTAAATTCAATAAATATATACTTAAACTATTTATCAGTTTTGAAAATATAAAATCCTTTAAATTGATGAGACAAAATTTAAAAATATAATAGAAGCTTATAGTTATATCGTTCATATAATATATAATTTAAAAAACAAAATTCCATCCAACTTCTTAATGAACAAATTAAAAATCATTATACCATTGCCCTTTTAAATGAATTAAAATTGGCAATTATATGGCAACATTATTTTATATTCAATATTTTAATAATTTTTCACATGCAGGGTAACACAACTTAATTTTAAACATTTAAACATTTATGCTTTCATAATTATTTTTATATTGAAGCATAATTAATGCTCCACCGGGCTGCTACTAGTTGCGTTCCAAAGCGTATCTTAACTACGAAAAAGGTCTAATCCGAGTTTCGGCATGATTTACAACATTAGCAATAATATCTATCATTGATAAATATATAATATTATAGTTTCCCGTTCGATAAAAACGACTTCCAGCAATCATAATATAAGTTTATAACATAGGTATTATTGTATTAGGTACCTAAATCAAAGGTGGTTTTATCACATCCTATATGTAGGCTATACTCATATCAACTTTGATAATAATACCTACCTACCTAAATGGCCATATAGGTATAATATTTAACGTTCCCTGTTCCTTAATAACGACAATCTACAAAAAGTAGAATTATTTACTGATTATACTTATTAAATTATTAGAAACATACATTTTATAAGAGTCTAATTTTTAAATACAAAGAAGGAATATCTACGAATTTTAAATATGTTTTTGTTAATGTACCTAAGTAACTATACGACAACAAAAACCTTACGAAAAATAGGTAATACAAATGCTTGTAGTTATCCAGTCCAAAGGCATAAAATAAAGGATAAGTACTTAATACACATCTCTTTGATAGGGTTAAAATAATTTTTTTTATTTATTGTCATTTTTTATTCTATAATACATAATATTATATAGAACTTATTTTAATGATGCTCATAATTGTATAATTTGAATAGGTAGTTAAAAGTTATTTATTTTTAGACGTCACCAAGACTCTGTTGTAAGTCTTCCATGTCACATTTCAATTGTTTTAAATCCTGTGTATAGTTATCTTTGGTATTTAATTTTGTGGCATATTTTTGGATCATACATTTTGTGCTGTTTGATAGACCGCATGGAAGCTTTGTGTTTGATGGCTTACAACAAGGGTCCAATTTTTTTTCCGGACAACAAGCCATTGGCATTATTGGTTCACAACAAGGATCAGGTTTTTTTTGCGGACAACAAATAGGAGTTGGCGGGCAACAATTGGGTTCACATTTTGGTTCACATTTCTTTTTCGGACAATAAATAGGAGCTGGTATACAACAAATAGGTTCACATATTGGTTCACATTTCTTTTTCGGACAACAAGGACTCGGTCCACAAGGACTCGGTCCACAAGGACTAGGTCCACAAGGACTCGGTCCACAAGGACTTGGTCCACAAGGACTTGGTCCACAAGGACTTGGTCCACAAGGACTTGGTCCACAAGGACTTGGTCCACAAGGACTTGGTCCACAAGGACTTGGTCCACAAGGACTTGGTCCACAAGGACTCGGTCCACAAGGACTTGGTCCACATTTCTTTTTAGGACAACAACAAGGAATCGGGCAACATTCCTTTTTCGGGCAACAACAAGTATCGACAAAACACTTGATTTGCTCAATTTTTTCCGATAGTACTATCATTTGTTTTAGTTGACATTCTCTTTCGTAAAGTTTAATTTTCATCTGGTTTATTTCCATACATTGACAATCAATTTCTTGTTGCAACTCAACGATCCTTTTCTTCAAGCAACATATTTCGTTACACTTAGCACACATTTCTTCTTCTAATATCTGTACCCGGTTTTTCATTTCTAAGTGATTACTTGCACTCACTTTATTCAATTCTATTAATTTGCAAGCAAACTTCTTTGATTTACATCTCTCGTCGTTTAATTTACACATCGCATCGTCTAATCGCATCTCTAAGTCGCTAACTTTTTGGCAACATGCTCTCAACTCGCATGTTAAATTTTCACGTTCTTGTATGTACCTTTCTTCAATGCGCGTAGCCGCTAATTTTGCCTCACATAGACATTTTTTTGTGCAGTTTAACTCTGTAGTCAAAACCCCGTTCATTTCGTGCAATTTATTGCATTCAGTCATGCACTCCTCAAGTTCCCTGCGAACTTTACAGAGCTCCTGTTCGGTACATTTCAAAGATGCCTTCAATGTATTAACCAAACAGAGAGTTTCTTCCAATTCCGCCTAAAAAATATGTTTACAAATTTATTAATATCTTCCCAACAACATATCTATTGTAAAGTATTAAAGTATAATATTCGATATTTGGAGCTGGTCCATATTATAGTGACTTATGAAAAAGACACTTAGGCAAAAAAAAATATTAATTCGATGGGGCCTTATAGATAGTTCATATATCATAGTATATTATTCATCATATAATTTATACCTATAATATAAATTATTATGTGACTCTGCATAGTTATCGGATAACATAACCTAAAGCAGTAGAGGTAACCTAGATCAAAACTAACGTTTAGACTAAAATAGTTCGGCAACTTTTTTCTTAATTGTTATATTTGTTGACTAGTGATACTGAATAAACCAGGCATCGCCATGAAAATTGTTGTTTGGCCATACAGTCAAAACGTCAAACAAAACTCACGGCCGTACCAAATTTAAAAATATTAGGTTTTCTAACCTTGTGTGAAAACAAGAGTGGACAATTAATTTTAACAAATAATATTTATAGTTATTGAAAAATATAAACCTAAATAAATTACCTAACTTTGTATGATATTGTGTAAGTATTTGAAATTATGTTGTATAATATTCGAATTAAAGTGATTAAACCATCTAAAATTACGTTTTATGTATATACTAACGACTAAAAATTTTTTAAGTACCTAATTGTATCATTCTAAAATCAAGAAAAGGAAATATTTACTTTAGTTTGACATAATTCTTTCTGAACACATTTCAAAGTTATTTCGGTCTCGGCTAACTGGGATTTTAATTTACTTTCATTACATTTTAGAATTTGGATTTGACCACACATCGAGTTGTTGGCTTCTTCTAGTTTCCCGTACCTGAGTTCCCATTGATATTCAGAATTCGCACATTCCTTAAGCTTTTTCGTTTGCTCGTCACACTTAGCTGATAGTTCGCAAAACGCTTTCTTATAGGCGTTAATACTGTCTTCATGATTTTTTTCACATTGTTTGTAAATTTCTCGTAATTTATTTCTTTCACAAACCACTGAATCAAACTCTTCTAGTCTTCTATTTAACTTACATATTGTATCCTCTTGACAGAATATAATTTTTTTTAACTCTGTCGGGTCTTCTGTTGAACACATCTAGATAAATAAAATTTTAGATAAGTACTTATTTTAGATTTTATTCTGTATATAATACTGTGTATAACTTACTTTGTATGGATTTATTTTATTTTATATGAATTTAGAATAAAAATTGAATATTAAAAATTTTATGACCGACTAATTTGTTTTAAGTTATTGTAATTAATGTTACTGTTTGTTTATAATCAAACAAAACTTCTGTTGCTATATACCTACTTGTTATACTAATAAACAAAATTATGTACATGAAATTCAGGAATAACATAGATGCCAATATAATATTTATTTTATTTTAATACATAATATTCAATTTTTTAACACGAAATTATATTTGTCTGTCCTTGAACTAGAATAAATTCTTTACTCTTTGTTCAAATTAAATTTCATGATTAAATATTATTATATATTAAGTTGTTGAGTATTTTTTATAAGATATAATTTTTATATTGACCATATATTAAATATAAAAAATGTACGGTAACAACTTATAAATACATTAATAAAGAACAAATTTATATATTTCCAATATATTAGATAAAAAACAAAAATCTAATTTTTAAAACATACAGGTACCTATTATATATTATTTAAATATTTAAATTAAAGAATATTTATTCATATAATTAACCTAGGTTTAGACGTTTAGGTATTCCGAGACCCAAATAGTTATAAAATAGGTTCAATAATTAGATATCATTCCCAAAGCTACAAGCATATGAGAGAAGAAAAATCAAGAATTACCGGAGCTATATCACAGGCCAAATATTATATCATATAAAAAAGACAAACGTCTAGAATGGTCATGTATGGAGAGCGGACGGACAAATTAACAAAATAAACAAAAAAAAAAACATCCATTACGAAGGTCAAGTACCCAATGTGTGATTGTCGTGGCTCAAGACATCAAAAATATAAAAGAAGAATAGATTTTTTACAACGCATATGGTAGAGAGAACTAGAGAAGTGGAGAGATTATGTGATGGCAGTGATGGCCCTTAATGGCTGACAAGCTGAAGAAGAAAGAAAGGTTCAATAATTGAACTTCAATTTATTAAATGGTAAATTTAGTACCTACCAATGATTTGAATTATTATTATTTTTCATATTGAGGCCTCAATGACTAAGGTCGTTAGCATATAAGGTAGGTAGAGTTGGGACGGTTGGTGAGGTTGGTTAGCAACACGTGTATGGGTGGCAAGGGTCTTGCCACTACGAACCTGGGTGGTTACCCATCCGGGAACTAGTATCAGAGGACGTTTCATACTCTCAAATCTCAACTGATTTGAATTAATTTAGTAAACTAAGTCTCTTATAGTCTAATATCAATACATTACCTATACCGGGTATTGCCCATTGATTATGAATACTAAATATCTACTATAGTCTATTCATAATCAATGGTACTACTTAAATTATAATTAGGTATTGTACTATATATATTTAAATTATACCTACATTTAAAAAGCTTTTATAATTTGGTACGTCCTATTTTTTAATATTGGATAGTTTGAATCTGCATTAAATAACTACTCATATTTTAATATTTTTTAATACCTACTGGCTAGTTTGAGTTTTTTTAAAAATAATACACGTAACACTGTTTTACAATAAATTATTCATTTATTCAACCGTATTATTATAATATAATATGTATTAATAATTAATGAGTCTTTGGTTAAATATATTTCTATTTATTTGTTTTGAACTATGAATTAGTACATACTAATATTAAAATGTATACAACTTTATAACTGAATATAAAGAGACAAGTAGCAGTGAATGAGAGGGTAAAAAACTTACCCCAAAAACTAATGAAAGACAGTTTTTTTTTCTTTTTCAGAAACATAGGATAGGCGCTACTGTACAACATGACAACACGCGTAGGTAGGTTAGTATTTTGAATACCATAAAGAGGTATTATTAGTTTTTCATCATAATCATCTGTTTATTATAAAAAGTTAAAATGCGTATAAAAATCCACATTTTTAATCGATAAATCTATTTTTATTGTCCCTTTTTTTTTATAAAACACATTTTATACACATTACGTCTAGGTTTAAGACAAATTATATACATATCTATATGGTATTAAAAAAAAATTGACCTATAATAAATTCCAAATTAATCATATCACATTATCACAATATCCATTAGGTACTTATAACACGTTATACATCAACATTAATAACAAACCCTGATACTATCATAGATATATAATAGTACACTTTAGAAGTTTCAAGTAAGTACCCACGAATAATATTATATAATCACAACAAAATAACTAGGTTTTTTAATATGTAATTTCGCCCAAATTTGAACATAAAATGACTATAAAAATAAACTGTGATTGTATATTTTTAGATTTTTCGGTAAGAGAATTAACTACTTACGTGGAATCTTGTTTTAAATTTTCAATCCTTAGCTATAAAAACTGAACATTTTATAATTTATTAATTACGATGATTAATAATTTTCGAGATTTTGAAAAATTCAGTCAAAATTCGATGTTTAAATGCTTATAAAAAAAAATTGTGACTATGTATTTTTAATATTTTTCAACTGATATTGTAACAATATACCAGGAGCCTTGTATTAAATTTTTACACTTTTTGGCCCAACAGATAAAACTTATTGATATTCATAGAAAAAAAAACTAAAAAAATTGAAAAATGAAAATATCCGTAAACAGCTCAAAAAGGGTCAAAATATTTTCAAAATTGTATGGTGTATAGGAAATTCTAATATAAACATTCAGTGAAATGTTCATGTATCTATAGTTATTCGTTTATGAATAACAACAAAATAAGGAAATCGCTACATGAGAAATCGAGTGAACATCCAATGTTGTAAAAATTTGAATTTCAAACGCTCATAAAAATTTAATTTGACTGTCCGGTAGAGATTTTTTTATTGATAAAGGTAGACAACTTATGAGTAATCTTGTATTACATTTTTAAATCTTAGATTTAAAAAGAAAAATTTTTACGAATTCTTAACTCAAAATAATTTGCTAATTTTCGTAATTTTCCATATTTTGTCAATTTTTGAACTTTAAATGCTTATAAAAAAAAACTGTGACTAACGATTTTTAATATTTTTCATCTGCCTTATTTGAAACAATATACTAGGAGCCTTCTATTAAATTTTCAAGTTTTTTAACCAACAAATAAAATTTTATTGATATTTTTAGAAAAAAAACTAAAAAAAAATGAAAAATGAAAATGTCCCTAAACAGTTCAAAATAAATCAAAATATTTTTAAAATGTTATCGTGTATAGAAAATGTAAATATAAACAACCAGTAAAAATTTCATGTATCTACGGTCATTTGTTTTAAAGTTATACCAAAAACCAAATTCAATTTTCTTAAAAATCGATTTTGCGTAAAAATTCCCGTTTTTCCTTAATTTTCTTTTGTTTTTCTTAGCGCTTTTGAAAAGTACTTTGAATTTTTAATTTTGACCTCCTCAATGCACCAACGATATTCACTTTCTAATCGAACAAGATACTGAAGTCGAAAATCGAAGCATTATTTCGACTACTTATCGTGTACACAGACACAAAAAAAATAAAAATAAAATAATAAAAAAAACACATATCATTGTAAAATCAATACATTCATCGTTTCACTCAGAATCTAATATGTTTTGGCATAGGTACATAATAATGTGTAGGTACCATATTATTATAATTATTTTTACCAGCCACATCAGAAATAAAAACCTGGATACTCCAGTTTGTGTACAGTTGAAAATAATATTACGTATATTACATTTGCAGTAGGCCGTTTTTTAACTAATTTTTTTTTACATCGTATTAAATATACGAAAATCCCGAGATCGACACGTCGACTCTGCACAGTAGGAATTCGGCTTTACCTTAATCTCGAGCTTGTAACCACGCGTACCTATCTTCCGTTGGTTAGACTCAAAGTTGGTCATGCCAAACGATGCTTAGCTGTTTTATAACCAAACTTTCTTCACATGCAAAGTGTAGTGAGTGTTGTGTAATGTGACGAATTCTGTAAAGACGAGTCTCGTTAGGCGTACTTAGTATTTGTGAGCCTCGTAACTTCATCGTCTTCAGTGGATTGACAGTCGAAGGCGGAGGAACGTCAATAGGTGCACAAGTGATAGACATAAGCACATCAGTCAACTGCATAATATAATGTCCACACTCCACAGGCTCGTCGTATTAGGTGCCCTTACCACCACTATTTAGAATTTCAATAAATTGTACTTCACTATATAATAGAACTATATAATCTATGTCTAATTAATAGAAAGTGTCATCAATGGGTGGCTCCTTTCATCAAATTAATTTTCCTGTGAAGGTACTTTTAGAATATATTCTTATTGTATTGATAATACAGATTGTATATTACTTGTAAAAAAAAAAAAATGTCTAATTAGGTACTTACAGCCACTTTGATAAAAAAAATTGAGTACCTATAGGTATTGTATGCATTATTATTTCTTAAAGAGTAGATGAGATGAGTATATATATTTTTTTTTTGAAATTTTAACCACTAGAAAAAAGTATAATATTCTGTAGATCTTGGGATAGTTAAATATTGAATTTTTAATTGAGATTATTAATTTTGTAGTTTATCGGTATTCAGTGGAACTTCCGATTATACCATTGCGCGTGTACAAATTTCTCTAAAATATTTTAGCATAAATAATATGAATAATTATATGTATAAGAATATAAGATAATACACATCAAAAGGTACATGACCTCGTGTATACAGCCATATTATATTATAGCATATAAAATAAATATTCATTTTATTTTATTCATTATATATATATATTTTTTTTTTATCGTGTGTAGCTCGCACCGGATACAGTGACTATGACACAATTGTTTAAAGCACACTTTGGGCTCGACACTTTGATCTCCTTGGTGCAAGATAGTTAGTTGTGTTTTATTAATATTTAAAAATATAAATTAAAAATTAATTAATAGCTTTTAAAAGAAGAATCTAAGTGGACC